TCGACAGCTCCATCGGCCCGACCGGACAGATCAAGGGGTACCTGCGACCGGAGACTGCTCAGGGTCACTTTGTCAACTTCCAGAGGTTGCTCGAGTTCAACAACGGCAGGGTTCCGTTCGCGAGTGCTCAGGTGGGTAAGAGCTTCAGGAACGAGATCAGCCCGAGGGCCGGTTTGTTGCGAGTCAGGGAGTTCACCATGGCAGAGATCGAGCACTTTGTCGACCCGCTCGATAAGAGCCACGAGCGATTCGATGAGGTCAAGGGTATCACCATTCCACTCCTCCCCAAAGACGTGCAGGAGTCGGGTAAGACCACCATCACCGAGAAGACCATTGAGGATGCCGTGTCTTCCGGCATGGTCGACAACCAGACCCTCGGCTACTTCCTCGGCAGGATCTACCTATTCCTTGTCAAGATCGGTATCGACCCTGCCAGGCTTCGATTCCGTCAGCACATGGGCAATGAGATGGCCCACTACGCTTCGGACTGCTGGGATGCCGAGATTTTGACCTCTTACGGCTGGATCGAGTGTGTTGGATGCGCCGACCGAAGCGCTTACGACCTCACTGTTCACAGCAAGAAGACCAGGAAAGATCTCGTCGTCCAGAAGACTCACAAGGAGCCAAAGGTGTATGACAAGCTCGTCGCCAACATCGTTAAGAAGAACCTTGGTCCGAGGTTCAAGAAGGATGCCAAGGCCGTGGAGGAAGCTATCCTTGGCTTGGACGAGAAGGCTCTCGAGTCGCTCCAGTCCTCGCTCAAGAATGGCACCGCCACCATCCAGGCAGGTGGGCAGAGCTTTGAGGTTACCCCAGACATTGTCACTGTCGAAATGAAGACGATCCGCGAGACCGTTCGCGAATTCACCCCCAATGTGATCGAGCCTTCATTCGGTATCGGAAGGATCTTCTACGCCCTTTTGGAGCACAGCTTCTGGACCAGGGCCGAGGACCAGGACCGCGGCGTCTTGAGCCTTCCACCTCTGGTGGCCCCCATCAAGGCTCTCATCGTACCGATCAGCGCCAATGACAAGCTAGCGCCCCTTGTCAAACAGGTCAGCAGGAAGCTGAGGTCGGCTGGAGTTGCATCCAGGGTCGACGACAGTAGCGCCACGATCGGAAGAAGATACGCCAGGAACGACGAGCTGGGTACGCCTTTCGCCTGTACCTTGGACTTTGCCAGTTTGAGCAAGGGCACTGTGAGTATTCTTGACCTTGGCCCACTTCAGTCTGGTTTCCCATCCCGCGTTCCCCTTTCTTCCCCTTTGTTCCTCCTTCGCTCTTTTACTGCCTACCCTTCTCACTGATCACTCGTTCTCATTTGCGCTACCCCTTGCCAACCATGGCGAACAGATGACCATCCGAGAGCGAGATACCACAAGCCAGAGGATCGGACCTATCGACCAGGTGATCGAAGTCATCAAGCGTCTTTGCGACGGCACCCTCACTTGGGAGGGAGCCTGCAAGGAGTTGCCAGAGTACACTGGTCAACAAGACCTCGACTCGTGAAGCTATGGACCCTCTCCCCACCTTCCCTTCCCCCCTTTTTTTTTCTCAAAAAAGGAAAGAAAAGGAAAGAATTAAACCTACATTTTTTCCTTTCCTCCTCTCTATTGTCTAACACAGATTGAAAATTTTCTCTGATTTCCCCTCAATTCCACATCCCCTTGTACCTGGAGGAAGAAGAAGTGAAAGAGATTTGAAGAAGAACATAAGATTGAATCAAGCTGGCCCACTCTTTTCTTTCACCTTTTACTGTGCAAAAAGAGCCAGATGGATCCGACCCTTTCCGGGAACAAAGTAGGAAGGGGAGGGGGGATGGGAGGCTGGGCCCAACGTGGGAAGCTTCTGTCATTCTGAGAGAGTATCGTGACTTGCCGGGGGGGGGATAAGATTATTGCAAAAAACGTGAATGGTTTAAATTCCTATGAGGAAAAAAAATAAATGAGGGGTTTGGAAAAGATTCGACAACAGTGTGATTCGAACACACGCACTCAGAGAGTACATCCTCACGATCCTCGAAGAATCCGAGGTGCTAAGTATAGCAGGGATGCGCCTTGACCACTCGGCCATGTTGTCCCGTCACGTGCTCAAGTGGGCAAACAGCAATGTGTACTTCGAGGGAAAATCTTGAATTCTGGTTCAAGGCAACAGAAACCATTTTTCCCGTTTGTTACAGCGTGTTTACGAACCTCAAATGCCAATGTGCCCCTCGTTGGATTGGCCAGAAATCCTGGGTGAGATGAGGAAAGGGAGGTCGAATGACAAGGTAGTCATGTTCCGATGGACTGTGGACGAACGGTGGTTTCACAGCTTGAATCGCTCGCGGGAATCGGAGTTTTGGGTTGGATGGTGTTGGTCGAAAACGGTGTTATTGAGCTTCTGACGTGGAGGGTGGAGAGGAAGAAAAGAGACAGGGAGAAGCACGCCAGCGCGTGCTGCCTTTCATTGCCCTACCCCTCCCGCTCTCTTCCCTCCCTCTCTCCTCATCAACACCCGGCTCCCCTTCCACTGCTTCTTCCTTTCTCCTCCCCTCCCTTTCTCTCTCTCTCTCTCTCTTTTACCCTCCCCCCCCCTGGTCTTTCCCCCGGAGAAATGGCGCTTCTGCAATTGAGCCTTTGCGCTCTCTCCATCTACACCACTTTCCTCGTCTGGGGACTCCTGCAGGAGAGGATCACAAAGACACCTTACGTCGCCGCAGCTACCTTGTTCCACCCAAACCCGCAACCCGAGTACTTTAGGTCACCCCTCTTCCTCAACGCCATCCAGGCGGCTCTCTCGGCCTTGACGGCGACCTTTTACGTCGTGGTGAGGGGCGCCTCGTCCTCGCCCTCGAGACCCCTCACATCCATCCTGGGCTTTGACGCCCTCACCCCGAGTGGATCGCATAGAGCCTTGGAATCGAGGGGAAATACCACAGCAAAGGAAGGGAAGAGGGTTGGAAAAGTGGCGGCCATCGCCAATGGTCGTCCGAAGGATCCAGAAAGCTCTCAAGGAGGAGGAGGAGGACTTTCGAGGTTCGTTTCGCCGCTACTCGTGCGATACCTAGCCATCTCCCTCCTTCAATCCACCGCCTCGCAGCTCGGCTTCCTCTCGCTGAGGTACATTTCGTACCCGACCTTGACCCTTGCCAAGTCCTGTAAGCTGGTTCCGGTCCTTTTGATGAACGTCCTGCTTTACAGAAGGAAGTTCGCGCCTCAGAAGTACGTGGTCGTCCTGCTCGTCACCTTGGGGATCTGGATGTTCATGGCCTTCGCCCCAGCTAAGCCTTCCTCCAAGAGCATCAGCAAGGCTCCCGCCTCCTCGAGCCTCTGGGGGCTTGGCCTGCTGGGGCTCAACTTGATCCTCGACGGAGCCACCAACAGCACCCAGGATGAGGTCTTCAGCCTCTACGGCAGGGAGACGGTCTCGGCAGGTCAAATGATGCTCGTGATGAATGCCCTCTCAGCCACCCTCATGTCGATCGGCCTGGTGCTCCCCACCTCGCTCTTTTCCGCAGGACAAGGTGGGAACGAGTTATCCAGAGCCTTGGCCTTCATCTCGAGGCACCCGGAGGTCGTGAGGGACATGTTGGCTTACGCTCTGGCCGGGGCAGTGGGTCAGGTTGCCATCTTTGAGACGTTGGAGCGATTCGGTAGCTTGACGCTCGTCTCCATCACGGTGAGTTGCCTTTGTTAGTTTTTTCTTTTTCTCACGAGAGGTTTTCTCTATCCTCTCTTCCTCTACCGTGTCTCTTTCTCGAATCTATGCCCTTTTTCCGCCTCCCCCTTTTGGCTGATCACTCCCCCGCAAACACACACACTTTTGGAAATTGGTCTCTTCAGGTGACGAGGAAACTGTTCACCATGCTGCTCTCCGTCCTGGTCTACAAGCATCAGCTGAGTGCCCTCCAGTGGCTAGGAGTCGCTGTCGTGTTTACAGGGATTGGTTTGGAGGCCAGGGAGAAGAGGAGGGAAGGTCTCGCCAAGAAGGCCTTAGCGGAGCGGAAGAGAAAGTCTTAGAAACCTTGCGGGTATCGGACTCCCTCTCCTCATCCGAGCTCCCCTTGCCGTCAACTTTCACCCACCTCCCCTCTCTGGCTTTAGTTCTCAAACCCTCAATCGACCCTGTCAGGGCTTTAAAGGCCGGAAGGAAAGGGAAAGGGCGGATGGGGTGGAAGGGCGACCCATAGCTTCAGAAAGCAGTGGAAGGATGGGAAGGTAGACCCAAACTGAGTTCCTTCTATGAAAATGAATGTATTCCTTTAGATTTTTTTCTTAGATCCAGATCTTGCCAGAAGGGGTTCGTCAGCGAAGAGAAAGACACAAAGATTCAAAGATTCAAAAAGGGTGAGAAATTACTTGTCAATATACATGTGTGTCTTCCCTTTTATCACGTGACCTGACAACATGGCCGAGTGGTTAAGGCGCATCCCTGCTATACTTAGCACCTCGGATTCTTCGAGGATCGTGAGGATGTACTCTCTGAGTGCGTGTGTTCGAATCACACTGTTGTCGAATCTTTTCTTTTTCCCTTCTCTTTTTGTCCCCCTTCCTCCTCCTCATCTTGTCCAGTTTCCAAAACCTGAAGCCGGCCTTCTTTCATCCTCCACCCCAAAAGGGACCTGATCCTCGCAAGCCAGCCAAGAAAGTGCTCGTCCGAAGCAGGACGGTAACTCTTAGCGAACTGAAATGGCCCAGACCTCCCATCCCCCATTCGAGGGAAAACCCAGTAGACGAACAGGGGAACAAGAAACACTAGAGGGGAAAAGCATCACAAAAGTAACATTGGAGAGTGGAAGAGTCAGACAGAAAAGCTCGAAATGAAAGGCTCATCCTCACAGATCGCTCCTTGCCAAAAAAGGAGACTGACAAAAGCGAATCATAGGGTGGACATCGAAAGGCTGAATAGAAGGTGTAGTCGAAGTGAGAGACGACAAAGGCGAAAAAAGTAAGCATAAACTTGGAACAAAAATGCAATAATATGAGATGTTAAAAGATTGATTTCAATTAAAAAGGATTCGACAACAGTGTGATTCGAACACACGCACTCAGAGAGTACATCCTTACGATCCTCGAAGAATCCGAGGTGCTTAGTATAGCAGGGATGCGCCTTGACCACTCGGCCATGTTGTCATCCGCTACGACGAAGTTTTTGAAACATATATATTCTTGGCTCAATGTTGGCTCTTGGGAAGCAGTTCAGATTGGCTTGCAACCTCACTACACCGATGCACAATCTCGATGCCCGCAGCCGAAGGGACAAAGCAAGGGTATGATTCGAAATACATGTTTAAAAATGCATCGAAGGTAGCTTTTGGGAGGTATCTGTACTCGGAGGGAGTCCCGGGAAAGGGCGAGTTGGAAGTGGTAGCGGCGTGGAGTGAAGAAGAGAGAGGAGGGATTCCGTGGTGTGAAAGGGCTTGAACCTTTCTGGTGGCCCCCGTTCCTTTTGATTTGAAAAAAAAAAGGCGATGGAAGAGGAGCGAGGTTTCAAGAAAAAAAAGGGGGGAGGCAAAAGTGAAAGTGACGAGTGAAAGTGTTTCGCAGCGAACTTCTGTTTTTAAGGGAATGTGTAGTCCAGGCTCTCGAGGTCGGCGAAATTTTCGGGGAAAGAAAAGTGAACGCAGGGATCAGGGAGAGGAGAGGCGCGTAGCGTACTGTAGGTTGGATTTGGTACAACGAGGTCACATCAAGCTCATGGCGAGGCATACCTTGCAGAAAAAGGTATGACAGCAGAAAGACAAGAAACGAAGGGGGGCTGGGTGCGGGTCCTGGAAGGTGTCAAGTTGATGGGAACGGGGAGATGAGGATGCAGGAAAGAACAGTGCAAGGCACGCTACCAGAGGCATCTGCTTGATGGTTCAATTTAAAATTGGTGGGATCTCGCGCTGAGGAACATTGGTGATACGCAGACCAAACGGGAAGCGTTGAGAAAACAACATTCCGAGTGGACCCCTGATCAGGTGGTATAAAGTCTGATGTCCATTCCGTTTGGCCCTCAGGATCCTCGCTCGTCCGAGTACGCATTCGACAGATGGCTCGGGTTGGAGAATTGCGGCGAAGGAGATCCGTTTGAGGATGGGCTCAATCTCCTGCGTGAAGGGGATGCTAACGGGGACGGGTTGCTGTTTAACATCCCAATCATGTCGGTCATCAAGCTCGGGGTCCCGCGGTCGGGCAGAGGGGGCAGAGGAAATGTCGGAGGCGGAGAGAGTGGTGGTGGCGAGAGCCTCTTAGCGGCGGTCGGGGAAGAGCTTTGACCGTTTCCCACAAACGAGTTCCTGCTTGAAGTGCTGGATCCGGTCGAGTTCAATCTCATCATGCCAACACTCTTCTGCTTCATCAGCGGACTTGCGTTTGGGGAGTCTCCATTCGAGCTGGCCTCGCTGGCCAGTTGAGAGAGGCCCTTCGAGTACACCGCCAGTGTTTCAAGAGAAAAGCTGGATCTTAATCTGGGACTGTTGCCGATACTTTGAAGAGACGACGAAGATTCTGCGGAAGGAGAGTGGGGGCCAACCCAACCAGTGTTCCCTGACTCCTCTCCGTCGTTGTTCTTCCTGTCGACTTCTATCGTGGGGATGCTCGAAGTGCCCGTGTTCGTCTGCCTGACAGGCGAGTCTGCGCTGGCCAGGCTACTTCCTCTACCGATACTTTCATGAATCGATCCGGTGGCTGAGACGGCACTCGTTAGAGGTTTGATTCCCGAGCCGAAAGCGATCTTGGAGAGGCTACCCACACTACCATTGCTGCTTAAACTAGCCGACCTCGCCCTGGTGACCATGCCTATCGGGGCCGGCTCAGGCTGGAGGCTTGGCAACGGCTCATGTTCCCTTTCCCTAACATAAGAGCCACGCCTGACAGAGCTACTCCTAGAACTCGGTGCCGAGCCCGAAGAAGTGACTCGAACCGAAGTCCTCGATCGAGCCACTCGGTCAACGTCTGATTTCGCCCCGCTTGCGCTCCGCAGAATGCTTGAACGGCTTCCTTGCCTTGGCCTTCGGCTAGGCTCGGTCGGAGGACTTGCAGATAAAGCCGCCGCCATCGCGAGCGCTCTTTGCGAGTAGGTTGGATTGCTCCCATTGCTCTGCACAGAGCCCATAGGTCCTTCGGAATCGCTTCGCCTGAATGTTCGCCTGCGACTAGGCGCGGAGTCACTTGAACTCTCTGTGCTCTGGAACGAGCCACTTCCATTGTCACTGCCCTTTGACGCAGTCGGGCTCAGCAGTGGTCCCAGCCCTTCGTCCGCTCTTCCGTTGACGACATTATGCCTCTCACCGACATCATCGTGGTGACTCGATTGCAACAAGTTGGTTCTGTGATTCTGAGAAGACGAAAGAGCAGCCTCTGCGGGCACCAGCGCCTGGTATTCAGCGAGTGGCGCGAGCTTTGTTGAAGAGCTTGCCGGCAAGTTCAGACCAGGGTCTGCCACTTGAGGTTCATGCGCGTCTGCGCTACTCTTAGGAGCCTTACAAGCCCCGTCGAGCACCATCGAGTTCGCCGTTGCCATCTCCTCATTGTCTGATTCCAGCGCATTTGACGCGCTCCGCTCAACGTCGCTGAGCTCTGACCCAAATGGCACGATACCATTAGGCAAAGACGTCTTATTCACCCTAGGATTGGCCAAGCTCACCTTCCCGCCGCTTGGTGCCAGGCTGCTTAGCCTGCTCGGGACGCTGAGAGAACCACTGCCCATGCCGCCCGACATCAAGACTACGTCACTTGCAGTTTGAGCTTCAGGCCGAGTGCTGATGTTGATGGCCAAGTTGTCATTAGTGCTACCATTCGAGGTTCTTCTTTGGCCCTCTTTCGAAGATGGGACCGAGGGCATCGTTCCGGAAGGGGTCAGCATGGTTCCAAAGGGATCTGCAGGCTCTTCCGAACTTGACATTTTCCTCATCATCCTTCCCACCCCTTTCCTCAAAGACGATGCTGCGCCAGAATTGCTGGACTTGGATCGAGAATTCGACGTGTTCATGACACTGTTGATAGTTCCTGAGCCACCGGGGGCCAACAAAGCAATCGTTCCATCGGGAAGCCTATTCGATCGAGAAGAGCCCGATCCCGAAGTGGTGGAAGGTCCTGGTCTGCCGCTAGCGTAGAGAGCCTGGTTGCCTACCTTAGACTTCGAAGATCCGAGACCGAGGATTCGACTTCCAAGCGGCGAGGTCACACTCCCATCACTTGAGCCATTGCTTTTGGGTGAGTTCGCTTCCTCCGCATCGCGACCGAGGGTGGTATCGATGGTCAGGCTCGATCTCGGCGGGAGCTCATGCTCGCTGAACGAGATCAGAGGAGCGACCGGCAGAGGCTTCCGAGCCGTCACGGTGATGCTCGAGCCAAGGTTGGCAGCGCCATTCCCAAGCGAGGCCGATCTGGAATTCGAGTCTCCTGGGCCAGTGGAGCCCTGCAAGGCCGCTAAAGCGTTGTTTCTCAGAGCTCGCGCTCGACGCTTTCGCCAGTCCCAGTCCCTCCCTGCAGCAGCAGTGCTTGTCGTGCCCCTCTCAAACCAGAATTCTTCCTCTTCTTCTTCAACTTCCTGATCAACGCCTTTACCTGAAAGCCTGTTGCGGCTCTCCGGGCTCGCGGACCGAGATCGAAGAGCCACAGCGGCCGCCTCGACTCGCTCCCTCGCTCTCTCATGCGAATCCGCATAAATCGACCAATCGGGCTCGGTCAACTTGATCGCCTTCTTCTTCCTGCTAGGTAGTCGACCGGAGGAAAAAAACATGCCCTTTGGCAAAGATGGCCCCGAATCAAAGGAAGATGTAAGCGCGAGTCCAAGCGGTTCCCTTGAAAATTCGCCAGGATTCAGCGAAGGAGACTGATGGTTGTCGCGCCTTACATCCCAAAGTGGGGACCCTTCGTTTGAAGCAGAATCAGGCTGCTGTATCAAAGTAGATAGTTCGGTCCCTCGGAGAGATGCAGTGCGAAAGGGTTGCGCTTCTCGCTTCAAAATCGATGAAAGTCTTGGGAATTGGGGCCTCTTACCAGCCTCATACCTGCCATCAGCTCCTTCCACATCACGAGTCACGAGTCTTCCTCTCCGAAACTCGACATCGTCGGATTCGGCTGGTAAGGCAAAAGACCGCTCCGTAGATATGCTAGGAGTCGAAGTGTTTTCCTTCCCCTCTTCACCAAGCCCTACATCGTCCGTCCAGCCATCCTCAGTAGTGGAGCGTGTCAATGGTGACGCTGCCTGAAGAGGCTGAACCACCTGCGAGCGATTCTTTACATCGACAGGTCTGGTTCGCGGCGGTCTTTGCGGTCTCGAGCCATCAGCGCTTCGAGCTGGACTCGGGCTTGCCGAGTTACCCCGCGAGGACGATGATCCAACAAGCAGCCTCCCACTCTCCCTTCTACGGCGTCCAATCGATCCGCTGCTCGATGCGGAAAGCGATCGCTTGACTATCGGGTTGGAAGGAGCTTCGTTGGGCGGTGTCCCATAAGTGACAGTCGAGGCCCCTGACAGAGGATTGAGTGGGCTCAGAGACTTGACCTTGGACCCCTCCAATTCGATCTGGATTGGGCGGGTGCTGAGGCTGCTCAGAGGGTCTGAGCTTGTGATCATGATCAGACTGCTGCGCTTGCTGACAGAGTTGTGGTCTTTCCTCAGTGCTCTTCGCAGTGCATGGCTCATTTTGGTGTCAGAGGAGAGTCCAGTGACGGAGGAGTCGTCCTCATCCTCAGATTCGTACTCGTCGCTCTCAAGATCGAGCTCTGAATAGTCTATCATGTTGTCCTGAGCGAGATCGGTGCTGATCTGCCACAGAGACCTTATCTGTTTGCTCGAGCCGCTCCGGACCATCCTTCTCAATGCAATGTAGCTAAACAACAAAGCTGAATGGGGTTCATGGGTTCAGGGAAAGGAAGGAATATCAAGAGCGAAATGGTGTAAGAGCGCCTTAGCAAAAAAAAGGGAAAGCCAGGCGGTAGGCGGCATGTCGAATTCATGCTTGAGTGAGCGTTGATGGAAAAGCTATACCACTTACCGAAAGTGATCATGAGCAAGGTCGCAGTCCAAGTGCGGCGAAAGTCTCCATGCCAGAACATTAGAGCGCCAACGAGTCCTCTGCGATGGAGGCCAGCCCTGAGGGTCGCTTCGTCAGGTGCTGACGAAAGGGCACCTTGTCCCA